TTTCCCGTCCCTCCTTGGCGCTCTTCGCCAGTGGCTGTCTCTTATACACATCTAGATGTGTATAAGAGACAGCTCTAAATCTCTCTAAATCTCTCTTTCTCTCTCTCTAGCTCGGCGGCATTCACTGGAAATGACTTGCTCTGTCACTTGTTCTCGGTTTTCTTTGCAATCTGCCCTCCTGTCCTTCTGTAACCCTCTGCTTCTGCGGTTCACCAGAATTTAACTGGGTGCAGTGGACAACTTGCCCACAGAGACCACTCCCCTTGTCCAGAAACACCAGCAACAATGTCTGCCACAATACTGCAATGTGGCAGTTCTCTCGATAAAGAAGGAAAAAAGGCCAACTGGCAGGTGGTTCTGTCTCTGCCATGCTGTCAGTGAGAAGGGGCAGGTGTTTTCTGTCTTTTTCTCCGCTTCCCCGAATGTATTGCATCCTTAACATGTGCCCAACCTGCCATCATGTCCAGTAAACCCTGCATGCCCTCTTTCTGTGAGCAAGCCAAACTAACAAAGTGTTAAGACTGCGATCGTCCGATCTTGGTCTTGCGTGCCCATCTTGGCAGATCCTCCTAGTACAGTTCTGCTCCATTGCACGGCTTTGCATGTCCATCATGTTGATGGAACCCACCTCCTCCACAATCTTTTGGCAAATCAATGTCGAGGATCAACCGAGCAGGTTACAGAACATCATCATGCAGTCATGCTCTGTTGCACCACCCAAATGTTTTATAGGTCAGTTATGCTCTATTTGCTCCTCCTCTTCCTCTGCGCTTGGCCTTCTGCTTGGTTCTACTAAACCCTTACAAAAGAAAAAATCAATATTCGCGCAGTCTTTAAGCACATTTTTGGGGCCAACTCTACACACAAAACAAGTTTTTCCTACAGGTCGATAGGTAAGTGGTCAGCTGTTTTTTTTTTTTTTTTTTTTTTTTTTCCTTCATAAATGACAAGTGTTTAACATCCCTGCAGCTATATCAGACAAGAATAACAGCGGATGAGTTACCTAATTAGGTAAGTGGACTGCTACAGGAGAAAATAACCCATGTTTTTGCTGCAACAACCGGGTTATACTATGATATAAAATTTGCGAGTGTGTGTGTTCTAACTTCTAAGTGGTCAGCTGTTTTTTTTTTTGTTTTGTTTTCCTTCTATTTAGTATTTACTATTTAGATAATAAGATTGCCCAACCCCTTTTCAATCCAGATGAGCAGATCCAAAATTGAAACAGCTTTGTGTTGCGGTCTTTTTTTTTTTTTTTTTTTTTTTTTGGGTCAGCTGTTAGTTTGTTTTCGTGAATGACAAGTATTTGACATCCCTGCACCTATCAGACAAGAATAACAGCAGACGAGTTACCTAATTAGGTAAGTGGACTGCTACAGGAGTTATGATAACCCATGTTTTTGCTGCAACAAGCGAGTTATACTTACTAGGATATAAAATTTGCAAGTTTGTGTCCCTGCTGATGCTGCTACTATGGAGCCTACTCCTCGCCTTCGCGGCCCTCTTGCCCCCTTGCCCCCTTGCACCCCCCCCCTCCCCACCCCCCAGCACACACACACACACACGCACACAATCTGAAAGTGAGTTAGCACCCAACCTTATGGTATTCCTATAAACGATAGATTTCGGATAAACCACATAAAATTACTCTCTTTATACATTTGTGCCTGTTGGTGGAGTGCTAGTTATCTAGAATTGCTCATTAAAAGGTTTAGGGTTCACGTCTCTCGGATACAATAGTGTTCAGGCCGTAGCCCCTCGAAGAAAGAAGTTAGAAATGACAAAAACTAAAACAAGAAAGTTGTAGGATCTGTCGACCCTGGATTCATGCATTTAGTAAGCGTCGCTTTACGAGAAATAATCAGGGAATTACTAAGGCTACCATCTTCACCCGAATAGAACACCCGGTCATTATCCCTGTATTTGGGGCAGCATTCAGTCCAGATGCAGCGATAATGACCGGGCGTTCTATTCGGGTGAAGACGGTAGGGATTTTCCTGGATGTATAGCACCATGGTCAGTGTGAGTATGGCTTCCTTTCCTGTGCCTTACTCTGTTCTCATCTACAAACCGGTTTTTTCGCGGGGGGGGGGAGAGGGGGGGTGCCTTTTTCAGTGTCCCACTGTGCTCTAGGAGGGGCGTAAACTGGTATTGATAATGCGCAAACAGTGATCCCAGGGATGGCCTGCTTTTTCAAAGGGGTCAGGGGTTTGGATAAGAAAATAATAAAATATTGAGGACATGAAAAAAATTGGTGACAAGATAGCTGCAGAACTGATGGAGTGTTCATCATCCTCTTCCAAGGTTTTGTGGAGGAGCTGTAATGATAATTCAGGATGAGGGTATTGTGGTGGTTTCTGTGTGAAATACAAACAGCGTATGTGCGCGCGCTCCTCCACGTGTGACCGAGACGGTGAAACTTTGGCTGTGCTATGTATGTGTCTTACAGGTGCAGAATCATCTGCTGGAAGTGGTGCTTGCAATTTTGCGGTCTTCACACACTGATCGCATGAGGGTAAGCTCTTGTCCTCATTTCAAGTAGTTCCCCTTTCTCCACTCCTTGTCGAAGATTGTTTTCCAGCACGAAGGGTGCATCTATGCTTGTGATAGGCAGCTCAATCAGATTGAAAATTTCGTTAGTTTTAAAGGGCCTACCGTCTTCACCGGAAAACAACGCCCGGGTGTTATATTCAACGCACACTAAAAGAATCAGATTTTTGTTTTTACTCGCTTTTCTTCTAGGCCAAAAAAAAAAAAAAAAAAAAAGGTGATATTGCGCATGAAAAATACAATAGAACTACGTTCCCATTTCATGAAAAGCGTGATAGGGCATGGAAGCGTTCAAAGGGAGTAAGATAGGTAATACAGGGGTTTAGAGGGGGGATGCTTAATTCATTTTATAAATTTTTTATCTAAATATTATTTCTTTTTCTGTTTTTTTTTTTTTTTATCTTCATATCTGTTGAGATATCAAAGATGGCGTCAAGCCAAAAAGTTGTTTGTATCATTAATATGAAGAACATATTTTTTTCCAGATTTTTTTGAATATATATATTTTTCTGGTTAAGAAAACGTGTTTTGCGCAGGTCCGGATTCTCCATACCCAGAATTAGTCCGGAAATTTCATGCGGATTGAAAAATCCAGATAAAATTGGTCTGCCGGATATCCGGATTTGCTACCTAGCTTTTTTTTGAATAGAACGCCCAGGCATTATATTTGAATGTGCCATGGGCAGAGTGCCTTTGTGGAGGGGAGTATACATGGGTTTTAATTTGTAAAGGGGGGAAAGGGGGTTATACATGGGTTTTAAAGGGGTTTGAAAGGGGTTTTGACTTGCAAGGGGTATGTTTTTGTTTTCTTTTTTTACTTCCGAATTTGGGACAAAAAAGAAACCAAGGCCTGGATAAATGACCGTGGCCCTCCAGGCTGCCCAAACTAAAGGGCGTGCGGCATAGGGGCCGAAGTGAAGAAAAGGACACACCATTGGGGCCTGGGGCCTGCTACGTACTTACTGTCTTGCCTGTGCGGCCAAGTCTCTATATGATGCTTGCTATGGCCATGAGCTAACTCTGTTCTCGTGCTGTGTTTTCTGTCCCAGGAGCTATATAATAGTAAGTATTAGACAAACAGGGATAGGACCGCAATTTGACACCAAATGGACTTGATAGAAAGTCTGGGGTGGACAAGGACAAAAGTAGAATTTGGCAGGTACCTGGCAAGGTCTTCCAGCAACTGCCCAGTAGACTTAGGAAGGTCTGGTACATTCCGAAGAGGTCATCATGGTTCAGGGCCCATATATAGGTGGAAATCAGGTTTGATACAGGCCCTGAAGTTGGATTGCAGGATGCGATGATGTTCCCACCAAAAAGCGGGAACATTTTGGTAGGCCTCGTGCCCTGGTAGTCCGGGAGTGAGTATAAAGTTCGGAGCAATGTGTAGGTCGGCACATTCCTTGAGCAGTCATACTTAAGAAGGTCTGGTAGATTCCAAAGAGGTAATGATGGTCCAGGGCCCGTATATAGGTGGATTTCAGGTTCGATACGGCCCTGAAGGTGGATTGCAGAATGCAATGACATTCCCACCAAAAGGCGGGAACATATCTGTAATAAACTGCAGATTCCCAGCGGGCTGTAAAACTAAGTGGATTAGTTTAGTAGTGTTTTGAACTGTATTGGACTTGATCTCTTGACCTGTCCGTCACTAGGGCCTCTCTTCTAGTGAGTCTAGTTTTGTGGTTTCTATGTTTTGAGCTCTGCGGGGCTCGATCCTTGTACCTGTGACTTGCTGGTGCGCCTCTCTTTGGGTGTCCTAGACGACTAGGCTTACTTCTTGCTTTTGGGTAGCCCGTAGGTCCTAGTTTCCTGCCTGTCTTAGATCAAAGTAGAGGCCGTGTCTAGAAATAGAAAGCTGGCGAGGCACTTGGGGTTCTTTTCCATTTGCTATTTTCACGTTGGTTTGGAGAGGTTGCGTTTTGAGAGCTTCGCTATTTTAAGCAGCGCAGTGCCTCATCCTCTTCATGTTGCTGGCGGCCATAGCTGGGACCGGCCAGCTCCGGTGTTGACAACGTTGGGCTGTGGGCCCTAGGCGCGGATAGGTACTTCCTCCTACTCGTGTGTTTGTTGGGGTTAAGGCAGCTGCCATCTTTTGCACGTCTTCTTCAAAGGGGCAGGCCTTCATCTTCATGGACGTAACGTTCTTCCTCTTCATCCTGGGAGCTGCGTTCCCCTGCTGAGTGGACACATAATCTGCAGATGGGCTGCATGAATGGTGCAGAGGGACATGTTGGATTCAGGAGGGTGTGTGGCATTTGCAGGCTTGTCTGCTTGGGTGCTGTAAGTCGAAGTGGCGCCATAGCTAGAACTCGAGGAAGGGGGAGGAAGAAGAAGACTCCTGGATATTTTTGTAATGACCCGCCAAAAACACAGACTGAGAACACTGCTGATTTCTGGGATTTGCCGCTGGAATGAATGCCTTG